GGGAGAACAGGGACCAAAGGAAGAGGTCGAGGCAGGGTTCCCTCTCCAGTGCTCTCTGGCTCCCATCCTTCTCCTAAGCCTTCTCACAAAAGGACCAGTGGGGCCAGTTGTACTCCCCTGTTAACGCCATACCTATACCACTGGTACCGTTGTTCAGCTGCCTGAATACACTCCCTCCACACACACAGGTTGGGATAGATGTGGAATTCCTCTCTCTCAGGGACTCAGGCCTTTCCAAATGTATTAGGCAGACCTCTATCAATTGCAATTGACAGAAACACAAAGTAGTCTAAACAAAAAAACAAACAAAACAAGACTGTATTGAAAATTCACCTTCAGTTTATGGTTAGACCCAGGGGCTCCAACCATGTAACCTAGGAACTTTTATTTTATACATCCCTTGTCTCTGCTTTTTGTTATACTGGCTTTATTCTCAGGCAGCCTTTGAAGCAAGATGGCCCTCAGCAGCAACAGGCTCACATCCTACCAGAATAGCAACAGCAGGAGGAAAAAACACACCACTTTCAATAACTGTAGCCAAAGTCCCAGGGCTGGCTCTCATTGGCCCAGCTTAGGCCACAGCCCACCTATGAACCAATCATAGCAGCCAGGGAGAATGAAATGTTCTGATTGGCCAGGCCTGTGTCAAAGTCCCATTCTAGGAACCAGAGGGTGGGATCCAGTCCACCTAAATTAACTAGACTGAGGCAGGTGGAGTGGCAGCTCCCCAAGGAAATTCGAGATGCCATTTCAAGAATGAGGGATAAACCCCAAGAGTTTTCTCACCTAAATACCTGTTTCCTTCTCTTTCAGAGCGACCTCCCAGTGAGCACTCAGGCATGTCCAGTAACATCATCATCTTCCTGATTCTGGGAATCATGATTCTTCTGACCCTCGTGGGGATCGGGCTTTATTTCTATCGGTCCAGATATTCCTGTGAGTTCCTTTGGCACCATCATCTGTCTCCCTCGAGTGAGCATCACCAGAGCTGCCATAATTGAGCACCTACTATGTGCTGGGCTCTGTGCTGAGTCCTTCCCATGTGCTTCTCACTGAATCATCACCCCACTGCCATGAGGTTTCCCCCATTTGACTGATGACAGTGCAGAGCCAGGGAGTCTCGTTCACTGGTTCATTTACAAATCTTATTTACAGAGTGGGAGAAGAGCATATAGGGCCTTAAGGCTGTGGTAGGGACTTTGAAATTTAATTCAGGTGATGTGGGAGTCCCTGCCAGATGGATAGAGGGTGAAATAATGCCTAACCCCTCAGCCTTACTCCATCTGCCTTGTTCAGGAGTGACTCCTAGGAGAAGTTGGCAGGAACTGACACCTCTGATCCTCAGCTCTAAAAGGGTCTGATGCTGTCACACCTCGAGATTTGCACAGGCCGTTCCCCTGCCTGGAGCACCCTCCCATGGCTCCTTCTGGAGAAGTGCGCCAGCTAATTCTGTAATCAAAGGAGCGATACTTTGCTGAGCACTGTCTACGTGCTACTTTGTGTGTGTAACCCCCTCGATTTCAATTTCTAATTTTTTTATTTTTTTATTATTTATTTTATTTTTGAGACAGGCTCTCACTCTGTCGCCCAGGCTGGAGTGCAGTGGTGCAATCTCGGCTCACTAAAGCCTCCACCTCCCAGGTTCAAGCGATTCTCATGCCTCAGCCTCCCAAGTAGCTGGGATTACAGGCACGCACCACCGTGCAGAGCTAATTTTTGTATTTTTAGGAGAGACGGGTTTTTGCCATGTTGGCCAGGCTGGTCTCGACCTCCTGGCCTCATGTGATCTACCTGCCTCAACCTCCCAAAGAGCTGGGATTACAGGCATGAGCCACCACACCTGGCCTATACAATCTCCTTGAATGCTTACAAGCACCCAGCAAAGTGGTTCTCCCATGAGCCCCGTTTTACAGAGGAGGAAATATTTGTTTGACAGATGAAGTTGCCTGCTAATGGTCAAATAGCTGGAAAGTGGTTGATGGAGAGAAGAAGCCAGATCTTTGACTACCAAGCTTTTCCCTCAACCACTAAACAAAGCTGCTGCCTCACATCCCAGACAGATGCTGCCTGTTCCAGGAAGCCCTCCCTGACCCCCAAGCGTGGGCCAAGGATCCACTAGGCTCTCCCACCCCAGCCTTGCCCATTCTGGGTCATCACTGTGGGGGACTTGTTTGTCTTCCCCAGTGGACTGTGAGCCCCAAGAGAGCAGACCTGAGGCTGTCACTGTCATGACTATGTCCCCAGGACCACCTACCACTGGGCTGGGCATAAAAGAATCACTCGAGGAAGTGTTTGCTGCGTGATTCTATGTGTCAACTCCAGAGCCAGACTGCCTGTATCTGGGCGCTCAAGCTACTGTTTGATTAGTGATGTCACCATAGGCAAATAGCTTAATCTGTATGACTCAGTTTCCTCATCTGTAAAATCGGGTGATGGTACCTAATAATACAGTAAAACACTTAACACAGCAGGTGCCACATTGTAAGCCACGTACTGGGTATGTATTCACTATGATTGTTATTGCTATTATTACTATTATTGTT